ACAGATATATATACATGTGTGTATAGAGATATTTATATATGTAAATATATAATTTTTAAAATGTATTTTCCATCCAGTACTAGTAGGAGGATCAGCTGCTTACCATTTGTAACTATGGGCTAGTGACAGTTCCTCTCCAGAGTCACAAGTTTCTATACAATGAGAATAAATGGCTTTAGGCCTTGCCCTTTTCCTTCTGAGTCTTTACTGGCAGATATGGAGTCCAAACCCAGGACAATGGAACCATTTTGCAACAATATGGTTCATAATACGACAATGGCTCCTGAAAAACAAAGTGTTGCGAGTGATAGGGAGGAAATGATATCACTTTTAAACTGAACAAGGCTCTTAATGTTTCATAGGTCACGTGAATACAAGTTGTCTACCTCGAAAGAATACATGTTATCATAAAGTAATCTTCAGAGTAGAATTAGGATGATGCTAAAGTCTAAACTTTTTTTTTATTCTGCATAATTATTCTGATGATTTTAAAAGTGATTAATGACAATGGCTCACTGACTGAGAATTGTAGCTGTCTGTGACTTTAAGGAATTAGAAATTTATGAGTTTTTTTTAAAAGTCAAGGAGAGACTTCAGAACTGTTAAACTGAAAATAATAAGAAGTACTTTCACAAAATTATTTTTTACCTAGGGGAATGTATTTCAAGTCATAGTCAAGATTCTGACTGATGAGTTGGTGGATATGTCTGAGCTCCACAAAAGAACATGAATTCAAGGGGAAAATGTGTTTTGGGGAGGAAAGAGCTTTATTTAAAAGGCATTGAAATAGATGTTCAAAAACCATGTGCTTCTGGGGAATAGGAAAGGACAAATTCTCTAACTTGGGCCAAGGATGAATGTGAAACAAATAAGGAGAGAGAGGTGGAAACACAGAGAGAGAGAGAGAGAAAGGTATACAAACATGTATATAAAGAGAGTCTCCATCTGCAGCCCAAAGAAGTGAGAGCAGTCACTTCAGTGTCTGATGTGTAAGAATAATATTCTCTTCTGCAGCGGTCTCTGTAATACTTAGTATTTTGATACCACAGCTTGTATCTGCAAACAAAAAATGAAATGTCAAATTCACCAGTCTAAGTTTCATCAAGAGTTTCATTATAAAGTTCCCAAATCCAGCAGCTTAATTATGAGCTCCACCTTGACAGCAAATGTCAGGCTGTGTCAATATTGGTGGAATCTGGTGTGTGATTTCTGAACACTGTAGAAATTCTAGTATATGCACCTTGACCACTAGACCTAGTGAGTCTAAAAGGCATTTGTGACATAAAGCTGATTTCAAACCAGTAAATAAGGTCAAGTTAAGTATAATCAGGATCCTGTTTATATCTTTTATCACTGTCTGTGTTCACCTAAGTCTATTACCAGATGTCTGAAATATCTCAAGAAGGGGAGCTGTGCTTATTTCAAAATTTTTGTTCCAGAATACAATTCAGACCGTATTTAGAGAGGATGGATTTTCATGTACACACGGGCACATACACATGATCTTCCTGGTTAAAGGAGAGGTATAGCTTTGTTCATCTTTGGGTTCCTGTTATTGCTCCTAGCACAATGACTTGCCTTCGATAAATATGTATTAAATGAATAAAACATAACACTTCCCATATATATTTACCCCATTAACATCATTAGAAGTGATTTTTATTTTAATGTCAGGGAGCTTACTGTGTATTTCCAGTTGTAATTTTGCCTACCAAGCAGTGGAGAGCGCTGAACTCAGATTCTGGTAGAACTGCATTCAGCTTCTGATCCTTTTTATTAGTTAGATGATCTCCAGGGAGGTTGTGATAATTTTAGAGACTCTTCTTCCTCAAATGGAAAGCAGAGAAGAAAAACTGAGCTGGCTTATTTCATAAGACTTTTATGAGAGTTGATTGAGATAAATGAATGCATGGGGTAAAATATACAACCTGGACCAGGGTGCATCTTAATAACATTTAACAGTCATGTTCACCCTTCCAGCATGCTGTCTCTCCTTATCATTTTTCTCACATTTATATTTACAAGACATTTTCCTTTTTCAGCCAGGAACAAAAAGTAGGATTTAGTTACTGCAGGGACTATTCAACAGTGCTTTCACAGAAGAAATATTACAGCTTTTGAAAGTCATTTCTCATTATCTTGAAAGCTTTAATTTTGAAGAGAAACTCATGTTTTGCCAACCAGGGAAACACATAGTCTATTATGTGCAGACAAAATGAAAATTATTGTTTGCAAGTCTTTTTGTACCTAATTCTTGGATTGCCAAGGAAATGGAAAGAAGGAAAATGTAATACATATAGCAGCTCCAAACTTGTGCTTCACCTCAACCCACCCGCTCTGCAAGCACCACGGTTTGAAGTTGGTTTCTAAATTGAGAGCCCAGTTTCCTAGAGGTTCTATATCTGGGAGAGGGAGATTTCCCTTGTCTTGAAGTACGCCCTTTCCTGTGCGCTCTGCATAAACCCAGATGGGAGTTTTCCTCAAACCAAGTAAACAACCTCGACTCCTTTGCTATTATCTTAAATTTGAATTGAGATCAGTAGCTTTGGGAAAATCTTTGGTAATTTGACGTGAGCAGGGAAGTCTCCCAAGACTGTTTGGAGAATAAGGCCCCATCCCTTCTCTGCTTTCATCACTTTGTGCTTTCTTTAATTCCTGCACATACTGTGTTATTAAAGCCTGTATTTTTTTTTTTTTGATCTCTCTGCTATAAACTCATTGAAATGAGAGTCCTTATATTTTCATTGTCAGGTTTCCTGGCCTTAGCATGGATTTGACCCAAGGTTTGCAATGAATAAGTATCTGTTGAAGGGGTGAATAAGTAAATTGGATGTGTGTGTGTGCATTTATATTCAAACATAGAGTGAAACGAATTTATCAGTAGATCAAGGGGTGAGGGAAAGTGGCAGAGCCCATGCCTAGCAAACACAAGGTCCTGGGTTCAATGCCCAGTGCCTCCATTAAAAAAATTAATAAATAAAAGCTAATTAACTCCCTCCACCAAAATAAACAAACAAACAAACAAACAAACAAAAGAAATTTAAAAAGTTTTCTTACTGCATAGCACAGGGAACTATATTCAATATCTTACAGCAACTTATGATTAAAAAGAATATGAAAACAAGTATATGTATGTTCCTATGTAACCAAAGTATTGTGCTATACACCAGAAATTGACACAACACTGTAAACTGACTATACTTCAATAAAAATAAGTTAAAAAAAAGATCAGATCACACCTGTTTATGCAAGTTGTTGAATAAGTTTAATAGAGTGATGGAAATATGGTATAGTGATATAGAGCATGGGTTTGGAGTAAGATAGAATTGGGTTCAAAGCCAATTGTGCCCCTTTACCTGACTGTGTGAGTTGGACAAGTTATTAGTCCCTCTGTAGCAATTAGAATTGTTACATCTCTTGGAGCCTCATTTCTCCTTATCTGTAAATTACTGCTTGGGTATAAGGATTGAAAGAGGTAAAATACAAAGTATTTAGCAGGAAGCTGGCAAGCAACAAGTTCCTGGCAAATGACAGCTGTTTTCATTAAGTGCTTGTTGTAGTAGAGACATAAAGAATGCTTTAATCATTAAAAAAAAAAGACTTAACCACTAGAAGCACTATATGTTTTTGTTTTAGATAGCATCTTCCTTTATACAACTTTTCATTCAACTGTATCAAAGTTAAGTTTTCCTCCTGGTAAATTGTTCCATTTCCAGTTTTCCCTAATGGATGAATTCTTTTTTTTTTTTTATGATAAATTAAGTCAGGGCAGCTGATAGCCACAGATCCCTCTAACTTCCTTTGGAAATTACTTCATTGATTTCTGAAATGATAAAGGACCTGTAATGTATCTATAAATATACTCATTAAATCACAGATTGCTCATGGCTGCACAGGAAATCTCAATATACTGTCCAGGCATCTTCCTCCCCAAAATACACATTTTCCCAAGGGCACTCAGCACGGGCCCATTATCATAAATACAGCTGGAGCTGGAGTCATGAATCAGAGAACAACTTTCCAGTTCCTCTTCCTCTAAGAGTTCCTTTAGAGGGCAGGCTTTCAGGCTGATGTTATAGGTTAGAACTAAGAGCATTTGCATGAAATGGGATAAATTTTCACTAATCCACTTTTCTGTTACATGATCAGTGTCTGGACTCTAAAAGGAGTCTCTCTTGAACCACAGAGGGCTCTGGTGAGAAGGTGGTACCTAAAGATTCACAGAATCAGAGAATAATTTCTTAGCCCCAGGCATTTCCTTTGAAGTCATTTCACTGTGGTTCCTGTACGCTGCTACTCAGGGGTCTGCTCATAATGTCTTACCAGGTGAAGAAAACAACCAGGATATCAGGGTGACAAGGGCGGCTCTGCTGCATAGATTTGCTTCCAGATGCCTGCACAATAGCAGAAAGCCTTTTTGACATCCCTCCCTGGAGGAGGGCAGTCTTCAGATCATTGTATCAAAAGTCTGGTGGATATACCCTTTGTGAAATCATACTTAACAGTGAAAATTTAAGCTCAGTCAAGCCCTGATCTAATTGGGGGAATTAATGGTAAAATCCATTCATTTTTTTTCTCTTCATGTTGTCTGTTTCCTTCTTCCTCCATTCTGTCTATATTTCCCTTTTGGGTTTTAATTTTTCTGAGATGGTTTCAATTTGTTTCTCCCCAAATCCTCCAGGACCTCCAGTTTCACCAGTTAGGTGTTTAAATAATATATTTAATGTTATGTGGAAGAACACACAAACACAGCAGAATCAGAGCAGACATTAGCTTCCATGGCCTGAAAAACAAACTTACTAATGCCTCCTTTTCCTTGGGAATCATCCAGCACACCTCTCTAACAGAGGGCTAGCTGGCAGCCACAGCTCACTGCTTTAACCAAAATGAATTTCACAAGAAAATGCAGTTCTTTTGCCAAAGGGAAGTAATTCAATTCAAGTATGGAATAATCTCCTTCTGATACCTTATATTTATTTTTTATGTGCCCTCTTTGAACTTTTAATCGTCCAAAAAAGTAGGAATTACTACCCACCATCATTCTTTGCTTTGCAGTTGGCAACAGCACCAGGTAATCAAGGATTACCTGAAGGGTGCATATTAAATTCCCAATTTCACTTTCTTAAATGGGGGCCCATTATCTCTCCATTGTTCTTGGCTTTTGTGAAAGGAAGAGGCAAAAGGAACCTAAACCTGTTCAGACAGTGGCACAGAGTGAGGAAAAAGAAAGTCCCCAGGGTAGAGCCTTTTCAAGTCTCTTTAATGGCAAACTAATTATATATGACCCTGATGGCAGCTTTGGTGTCACTTTCTTTAGAAAAATTATCAAGCGTTTATCCCTGGGGTTTATGCTATTTGTCTTGGAGAGAATCCATTGAATGTCTGCAGTAACTCTAAGGCTACTCTCCTTGAACCTGCCCTAAACTGAGTCAGTTTGTCATTAACTGCAGATGCTTACTGAGCAGTTAGAGCGAATCAGAACCTTAGGTGGCAGGGGTTTAACCCTCATCACTGCTGCTTTTCTCCCTGAACTTCTGTGTTCTTCTATTTGGTGGTATGTCAATCCTCCCGCATTAGGATTATGTCTAAAGCTTTTCTATTTATCGGTTACTATGAAATTTTCTTCATGGCAGGCTAGGTATATGCATTTTTACAAAAGGAAAATTTGATGAAGACAACCCACTTTTTCAAATAGGATGAAAATTAATCTCTCCTGCTTTTGCCTCCTGTCAAAAACGTCTGTATCTCTGGGTAGCTTCCTTCGTCTTTCCTGCTACAACTGAAGTGGGGCCAGAGTTGGTAGTGAGACTGCTTAATTGTTTAGTATCCTTAGGGAGCTCTTTATGGTATGAAATAGTGTATACTTTCATATTTCAAAAACAAATAATTCCAGAAAGTCACATTTTTCTTGAGAGCTGAACAGTAAAATGTTTTGTACGGACAAATTTTGGATAGAAAATCTGCTGAAGTATACTGTGCACTGGACTTCCTTCTTAAGCAAAGTATCCTATGCATATTTTCAACTTTTTAATGACTTAAGTCATCATCAGGGACATTGATTATATTCCCTGCCGTAAGACGTAATGAGGCCTTAGGAAGGATGGAGCTGTTTGCCCGTATATCAGTGGCCCCATACTGGGAGGCTTTTACAATCTTTTGTCTGGCTTTCCTAAACTATCTTCTTCATTGCTTTTAGTGTTTGCGTCCACCTCTTCATGTGCTCTGGGGATGCCTAAGAACCCCCAAAATATATGAACTCTGGTTCACATGAACATTAAGGCACAAATTTGGACTACTCTGTACCTTGAGAACATTGGATTCAGTTCCACATTCAGTCAGGATTATCTTGCTTTGACATTGAAAGGGATCTTTCAGATGAATCAGTCAAAATGGTGGGACATCAAGTATTGGTTTATTATGTGACTTTAAATGAGTAGAGCATTCAATGCAGAAAAGCAAACACATGGGTATTGCCTGGAGTGATAAAACCCAGATGAGCTAGGATTAAAATTTGATCTTTCCTCAAACTTTATATAAGAACTAAGATCAGGATTATAATATTAAAAATAATGCAGATTCCTGGGCCCACTCCAAGCCTTCTGGGTTAGAATTTCCAGAGGTAGAGTTCTGGATTTTAAATAAGCAACCAAGGTAATTCTGACACACACACACAAATTGATTTGGGGCTATGCTCTGCAAAATGTTGAGTGTGGTTTATCACTATAATAATTATTAATGTGTGTCAAAGCATAGAGATACTAGTTACAAGAAAACTGCAACTGATGAGTAATGGAATTTCCTAATAGTCCTTCTGTTGTCATCAATCTTCCAGTTAGAAAAGTCCTGTGAAGTAACAAATCTATCCCAGGGTCAGAACATTTTTAGGGAGGTGTTTTTACTCTCAAGACTCAAAATGGGCTGCAGAGAGTCTGTGAACCTCCTCAGAGTACACACAGAAATGTTTGTGTACTGTATATACATTTTTCAGAAAGTTGATAACCAAGTTTTTGTCCCCATTTTAGCAATGAGAAAACTGAGACTCAGAGAGATTAAGGGACTTGCCTGTAGTAGTTAAGAAATGAGTCACTATTGCCCTGAGTAGTTAAGAAACGTCTTAGCTGGATAGAGCTAGGATCCCAAAGAGAGGTGTGTCTGATTCCAAACTCGTGCCATTTCCTACTCAAACACAGGGCCTCTTAAGTTGCTTTAAATGCTTCCTTTCATCATTCTTGGAGAACTTGCCTGATTTTGCCATGAGGCTGTCCTTCCCATGGCCCTGATCATTCTTTACCAGCTTTGTTCACTGTCTGACAGGTCTGCCCGGTCTTAATCGTCTAATCACAGTGTAATCAAGCACTTTTTTTTTTAACTGTTGCCCTGGTTCTCTCTCCCATTTGATCTCATTTGGTTTCCAGTTATTACTAACTCCATGTCCCCAAGAGAGTTTCTCTAAGATTGTCGGACAACAACCACAGCAGACATATTAAGTGGGTTGGGGGCAGCCCACTTTTCCATTGCCCCATGCTCTTTCTTTTCAGCTTATCTGGAATAGCATCTGAAGCAGCTAAGAAACTTAAACTGCCGTCTGAGTAAAGCCAACTTGATTTCTGCCTAGCAACAGGAAGCAGGCTGTGTCGCCAATGGCAATGTTTGTTTATCTCACTCAAGCGCCTACTTATTTCAGAGATAAACCAGTCCTCCTGGTTGAGTCATTCTTATTTTTTTATATAATAATTGTTTCTCTTGTATTCATCTAAGATGGGCCCTTTTTAACAAGTAGGCTTTTTTCCCCTTTCACATGACTTGGTAATATTCTTAATCTATAGCAGGTGTCAGAACTCTCAAGCTCCTACCTAAAGCCCAAGAACAGCCAAGGGGAGAGCAGAAATGAAAGATGTTACTGGAGGATCATTCGGTGGCAGGGAAAAGCAGACATCTGGAAACCTTGTGAGACCACCAGTCCTGCTTTTGTTCAGTGCAGTAAATATTTTTTTAGGCATCTGCTGTGTGCCATGTGCTTGACTAGGAGCTAGGGACGCAGGGATGACTAAGAAACAGTATATGTCCTCACAAAGCTCAGTGTCGAATTAAGGAGACAGAGGCACATAGACATCAAGGTGGCTGCAATTTGTGCATTAGGGACACTGCCAGTGATGAAGAGTAGAAACAGCTGGGATCTTGGAAGATGAAAGAAGCAACTGCTCCTTTGGGCCAACCTTGGGTTTTCTTCTCACTCATCACCTTCCAGAGTTAGGCCAATTTGACAGTCTGCTCTAGGAAAAAAATTCGCATGGGATGGTTAAATTTCCAAAGTGTTTGAGGCCTTTAGCCATCAAGAATTGTTCCTCTAAAGAGGCTGAGAGTGCATCAATCTGTCATGGAAATCTGCTTGAGACATGCTGTCCAGCCTAGAGGAATTAGAAATTAATCTCTTCCAGAAATCTTATGATTTGAAACTCTGTCCACAGTTGAAAT